ATAAAATTCAGTCCTATAACCTATGTATCGCACATCTCCCTTCATTTTTACCTCAGACTTAGTTGGCTGGGAAGCTGCAGGCAGACAATACTCAAGTTCGACTGGGTGAAAGCAGACATTATTAGCCAAAATCAGGTGGAAGAGTTTGAGGAAATATCATATCCATTCATAAGAGCATGAACTGAACAAATCTCACATCGAGCCGTACAAGGTCAGTACTTGATCGCAAGTGTAGATAATGCACCTGCCTGCACGGATTTTGCATGGATTCATTCACGAGACGACGACTCACAACTAAGATAGTGTATGGGTCCACATAAACTGCACCTCACCAGGAGCTCAATTGAATCAACATACGAATAAAAAACTGATAGTTTGTCGACCACCAACGCACAATATATAGGTCCGTAAACTGGCAGAGTTGTTCCACCGGAACGAACAACTAACTCTACTTTTACCGATCCGATTGCCACTTTTCAGTGTTATTTAATTCCGGACATCAAAGTAGCTGCCTGTCTGGAAGAACATGCAGTCTCGAATGCACTTTTCTTGTTCCTCCGTGGTTCCGTTCCGTCTAGCGCCGAACTCGACTGAGTTCTGTTGGATGGCCTTCGACTAACACTGAAGTCATATGCATTCGATCGGTCTATGCGCGTTTTCACTGGTGGACACGTGTGCAGCTATCCCTAGATGGAGATGTGCTGCCGTCCTGTGGACGTAGTTGATCAACCACATGCAGGTAAAACGGTGGCATGCAAAGAATTTGGACGATGGTAGAAGCAATTTCACAGGTGGGATCGGAGTTTGGTTGGATGTATTGGGCTTTTACAGCATAGCAGGTGCGCTTCACTACATGTCCAAGAGGCGGTTCAACAATATATTGACATCGTCTCCCTCGAATATCAGACGCGGAAACACATCCAGTCTTGAAATTTACAGTACGGCATCCAGCTCCGGGATTTCGGTACTATCTTCGCAGAAATGCCGGGTGGATAAAGCATTAAGTGAAATAATTTGCCCAAAATTCTGACGCAATCTCTTTCATGTTGGGCGCTCAATGTGATGAGAGCAAGGACGCTATCGACAAATTCGTTTTTCTTTCCCAGAGTGTGTGGTACTAGGACCTGGTTTCCCAGACTAAATGGCATTATTTTACTTAGAAGCACAGAACATCCATCAAAAGCTTTGTTCATTGATGAGATTCTAGTAACGATCGACGGATGGATGCGTTAACTACATGGCAACTGAATTGGCAGGCATTCAGTGCCACCAATCACAATTCATTTCTTACGGAAACAAGAGCATACGGAATCGTCAAGATTGCAATAAAAAATTGAAGATGATTCATCCATTAGTGGAAAATCATGGATGAACTTCCGGCGATTCCTCGAGCACACTTGCTAGTTTCAGAGAAAACGGATATCAAAACGTTACTACATAAAGCCATAACAGATTGCCGCAGAATGTTTCTTTTCTGGAAGAATCATAGGGTCATCAGAGGTTAACCAGCAAAGTCCTTTTAAGATAGGCTTAATTGGTTACCCGCTCCTGGCTCTCCAGGTTGGGGGTTGGAACATATGGCGACTTGTTCAGCAGAAATGGGAATGCATTTGCTTTTCCCGCCAAAAACCGCTGCCTTGCGGTAAGGCTTTTGAGCCAAAGGCTTTGGTTGGGGACCCTAACCGTCCTCCTGTCTAGGTGTGGGCACGCTGGCGGTATCCCAGCCCTCGTACAACCATGACATTCAAGACTCATGGTTGGTGGAAATTAAGCCCATGGAGAGAAAAAACGATCCCAATAGTGCTCAAGTTGCCAAAATATTTTCGGAGAATCTGAAAAGCGAATGGAAGACTTCTTGTGAAAGCACGACAAAGACCCAGCTGATGCTGTCCTGAACGAGGGACAGTCATAGATATAGCAAACGTAACGAAATCGGAAGATTCGGAATTAATTTGAGGTACCAAAAAGGATATGCGAAATACAAAATAACAAAAAGACCTGCCCCGTCTGCTTTCAACGTCACCAGCAAAACCAGGATGAGGGCACGAATGCGCCAGTCCCTGGCAATTATTTCAGTTTGCCAAGACCCCTGTTGAAGGGAAAAACAGAAAGGGATCTTTTCTGACTCGATCAGAATGACGTAACCTGATGAGACCTAACTTAAACTTAAATTACTGAGTTCAAAAAGTCTTCATGTTGCTGTCTAGTTTTTTCATCGATGAAGGGCTTACTTCAAGTCGAACAGAGACTAGGTGCAACAGGAGCATAGACCAGGAGTTCGCAGAAGGACCGACAACCTTGAGTAAGTGATCACCATCTATCGATGCGTAGTGTGTCAGCGACCTGAGTGTCCTATCAGTTATTGTTCCGCAAGCGCCATACAACACGGTATTCAGATGTTTCTGACTGCTTATGCTTGCGATTAACAGTCATCACAACTATTGGTCGTCGAAAGTACTAGGTACACCTAAACTAGACTTCCGACCGAGGTTTTTACGATTCGGCTTGCATGGGTGTCCCAGCTATTAGCAAGTGCAGTTAAAATTTGCCATCCGCAAAAGCAGTTCTCTCTAAAACCCTCCCCCGAAAATGCTGAGCCGAAAATCCGCAATACGCGACTTATTCTTATCGTCGTGCAAACATGGGTTTAGATGAAGTTTTATACTAAAACTTAAAAAAACAGAACAACAGGTTCGGCGTCTATGATACGGGAGTCCATCAAACTGAGAGGGCAAGCAGCAACCACTCACAAGCGACTTTCAAACAAAATATAACCCTGTTAACCTTCAGCAAAGTGCGTCTTATAAATGTCAGCCACACACTTCGCACAAAGAGACTGTATTAACCCACATATCCGGGACGGTTTCGCGAACCGTCTGTGACTGCTAAAACCTCAAGAATCAAGGTTGGAATTGATTCTCTCAAAGATATCAAAATTGACAACCTAGTTGCTGAGCAGCATCGAAGTTAATTTAACACCAATTAGTGAAACGAGAGAACTGACTTTGAGACCATCAAAGTTGGTAGATTTACATTCAGTGTAACACCTTCTCAGGGCAGCAAGCGTCCGAGTTATCCTGATTACGGATTAAAAAACAGCACCTCAAAACTTCTGCACATTTGACAGGTATATCAAAAGAGAAAAAACCGCGGTAATTTTTGCCTGCATCACCGCCCGGCTAGGTTCAAATACTCATTCCAATTGTGACTCCCGCTGCTCATGAAAATGGCAATGACATATCAGAACATGTACACACGTCCATCAACCATATCAACAGTGAAGCACATGCACGATGATGATCGACAGCATATATCCCTCCAACACTGACACACTCATGATTCTTTTGAATGCTTGTTATAAAAGAAAACTAGGGGACCCAGTATTGGCCCACAACAAGAACTTTCAGGTGCTACACCTACTAAAACTCAGTCTGAATTGAAACTGACAAGAAACCCACTGATCGATTGGCAGCCAAATTTTGTGCCGTCTTCAGCAGTATACGCAATCTGAAACTACCAATCCTAGGGACCGCATCACACAAAGCCGACATTTTGTAGTAATTAGCATATCTCGGTCAAAATCTAACCACCACTGTGTTCGCAAAACCCCGAAATTGGGCACGGAAAATAGCATTTTTTCAGCAGACGACCAAGAAAGCACACTTGCAGTGTAGCCACATTCCTCAGATGAATCCTTCATTCTTTTTCTGACTTGTTGCAAGCTATTCGTTGTTTAAGGCTTATCTGCAAGTTATTGTAATTATGGTGCAGAGAGTGCTTCTACCCAACACGGGGCCCACTTTATGAATCAAAACTGGTAATATGCTTTTCGGAGCTTTGGAATTTTCAGTAATAAGACCACCCGCCAGTACGTGAACGAGACCGGAAGTACATGTAAAAAACGGCTCGGATGTAACACGGTTCGGTGCCCGGCTGCCACGAAATCAGAAGGAAGCACGACGGCTGGGGTACTGCTTGGTTGTCTAAGCCTAAATAGAACTCGATATGCAGAGTCGGGTTCGAATCACGGGCCTTGCGATCAGCAAATTCGCTCTATAACCACTGGGCGATCTTGCCCTCCATACACGTGGTGGAGTGGTTTTCACCATTTGAAGGCCAGGCTCCGAATAGCGAAACCAGCCTGATACAGTCCGTAAAGTTCGGTCACTCATTTCCAGCCAATTCATCATGACATCGTGTTCAACACTGATACTTCGCTTCCGTACGACGATGGTTTATTTGAAAACCCTACAGCACCGAAAGAATGAAGGCTGAGAGGGAGGGATTCAGTGCTACACCTCCGAACATTCATGCAATCTGGACAGAAACTGATAACACGAACGCCATTGACATCGACTAGCAGCCATATCTTGCAGCATCCTCAACCAGGCGCAGTGGGGATCACCCAACCCCATCCTGGTAGGTGAGTAGCGCCGACAGCACCCAAACGTTTCGTAATCTTTCTAATATCCCTCTGCCAGGTCAAAAGTTGATCAACCCTTTCAGCCACTTGCCCCAAAAAATCGAAAGACGTTACGCACTTTCAGTGCTTAGTGAGAACAATGTTGTGTTGTGATTCGATTTGTTAAGGATGAACTACATTAACGCTGATGACAACCTAGGTCCGATTGGAAGACTTGACAATAGTAGGGTCGCTCCGCCTACGAGGGCAGACGGAGTATGAATGTTCCTTTTGAACGAACTATTTCACCAATCTGGCCAAACGTGAATAGATGTCCTGATCAGTTTGTAAGATAGAATCACTGAGCATTCAAATAAAATTTTTAGACTTCTTGTCCAATGGAAGGGCCCCGAACGAGTCTTGACAAAGAAGATTCAGCAAAACAAGACACTCGGCAGGAGGTATGCGCATAGTATGCTCAAACTGACAGACCTTCTTGGACTATCAGTGGGATATAATAATCGAATCAACGGCGAAATCGATAGCGAACATTTACAGGCGATGCGCAGGAAGAATAATTCCAGAGTCTATTCGCAAAATGATGAGAGTGAGTAGAATTTCGTTCTCAACAGCATTTAGATTTCATCATCACATGAAGTTGAAAGAGCAGTTTCTAACCGTTTGAGAGCCATTTGGAGCACAGAGGTAAGTTATTTCTAACACCCGCCCTAAACTCAGCATTCATGTGAAGCCAATAAGATTTTAGCTTTCACCGTGATGCCAAGCTTGTCAGCTGAAATTAGAGGTTTCGCTTTCTTTTCAGTTACCTTTTGACTGGTGGAAAATCACACAAAGCAAGCTGATGCTATCACGGTAAGCCCTGTGGATAGCAAACTCTATGGGGGCCTCGGAAGTAAACCACTCTCGTCCTGTGCATCAGCGCTCTCTTCTCCTGAGTGTGCTGATATTCTCCGCCATCGGTGCTGACTAGTTAGTCTGCTAGAACTCGATGAAACATGGTCATCCCACGACCAGATGTTCACAAACTCGGAAGACAGTGTGACTAAATCTACCTGACCTAGTCATGAGCTTGAAGTATCACCTATTAAAGGCCAACAGGATGAGGCCGAATGGGTACTTGAAGGCGAACCTAACGCAAACTTCTATGCGAAGGCAGAGCTTCCGCTATTTCTTACAACGCACGATGGAACTTCGTTTTAGGAACCGCCCAAGATTGCTGATGACCTGACCGAATGCAATATCACACGAAAGCTCCCCATTTTAAGGCTTGATGGTACTGCCACCAACTTCTGGCTCAACAGCTGTCACAATAGGAAAATTCGTCCCTCCGATTATTCATCGAAACAGCCCATTAAGAGCGAAACCTCCGAAACCAGTTGATCTGGGACACTCGGTGTGCTGGCTGGACAAGGTTGGTGGATGTAATGAGCTCCGATATCAACCTTTCACAACTTTTCTTGTCCGGACATAGGCTGGGCGCTTACTAAAAATGGTGATCAGTTAACCGTAGGTACCTTTCAGTGCATAGCTGTCATGCAACTCGATGGATGCCGAGAGGATAAGATACTATTTGGTTGCCGATACTTCGACAGAAACCGATTGTTCGACTCCGTGAGGCGTCGATCGCGAAAGGTGCACAATCCCTCGTAATGGGAGAAAACTTGGACCAATATGTACTTCAGAGAAAAAGAGTGATCAGTACAACCAGGATAGAAAACAACACAACAAAGTACGCGCTTTCATCTGCTTTCGTAGAAAGACACTACCAAGCACATTAGACCAATTATGTCGAACATCAGAGCGATCTTAAAATTACAAAATCCATGCGTAATCTTTTTCACTGTCCATATGACCATCCATTAGGGTAGGGAGCACAATCGCCTCCGTTAGCGACCCTACTACGAAGCTTAGGTAGGAAGTCTGTGGTCGCATCGATGTTGGCTTTCTGTGCGGTCATTTAGAGACTGACCATTCAACCTCAGAGGTGGGACTACCTCCATGACTGTCTGTCACATTTAGCTATAGATAACGGAACCTAGTTAAGGGGCTCTTCGACTGAATCTAGAAGCTATTACTCTCAACTAGATAGAGGGAGACTTCGTAACCAATAGGCAGCAATACACGCAAAATCATGCGCAACCGCAACAAAAGATCCGTCCCACAGTCTGAGGACTGGATCCGATCCCGAGATTCCGTAGGCTAATCGTATTGTATGGACAGGCGATTGCTGGTTGGCCGTATTAATGGTGGTTAATACAAACAAACCGCAATCATGAGGGTTAGCCCCATGGGGACCCAACAAGTTAGGAAATTTACGGACCTAATGGTGGCAAGTCGAGTGCCACTGGACAAATCTAGGCATCCAAGGGAGAGTTCAGAAAATTGCGGCGCAGCAGAGCCACCATGGCATGCTGTTGAAACTCAATCAAATGCAACTGCTCCTCTAAGCTGGAAGTACAACAATCTCAAATCAGAAGGGGTAGGTTGCTACCGAGTTAGCGACAATGTTCCCGTTGCAGTATTGTGGAAGCGATTGTCTGTGAAGAAAGGAGCATTTGAAAACCCAATGTCTTTTGGAGAGGATGCTGTATCCTGATTGGCGATTTCCCCCGCTCATCTGTCTCTTGTCTGGTGTCATTTCGGCTGGATGGGTGAGTGCAAACACCTAAGAAAACTGTCATGTCCTGAGTGGCCGTGAAATTGTAAACGGTTGCTGTGTGTGGATGAGATACAATGATTTCCCCTACAGTAATCTCATGTGCTTGTCACCAATTATGGACTGCATAAATTTACTGCGAACGACCATGAACGGCGGGTCGGAGAGTAGAAAACTCAATGGGCAGATGGCATTCTTCTTCGAGAGAAAGTGCCTGGAATTTCTTAGAAGTGTACTCTCACGGACCTATTATGACGAACGACTACTGTCTATTATCGCTCTCCCTCGGTGATTCGCGCTGGTAACCATTTTCTATATCCCGTTACTATAGGTGGCACAAGGCAACCCTCAGCGCAAGCGGAAAAGTGACTGCACCACGGTGAAACAGCAAAGAAAGCAAATAAGGAACACGGAGGCGTTTGATGCACTGTTTTCGCCTACATGTAAGGACGATTTGGAAGAATAAATGTGCAAAAAATACATATGTACAAAAAGAAGAAACACGTTTCATTTCATCACCCAGTGATAGCGAACAGGGTCTGTAGGGAGGGGTCCTGAAAATAGAGAAGAATAAGAACGGTGTTCGAGAGTTTTGGCCATTAAAGTTGTGGGACTCTTCTGACACAAACTGAGATATACATTACTGAATGATATCTGATTCCTGCAATGAGCGAGGCCCTTCAGGAAGCTATAAATTGCACGCCCATGGATAGCCTTGGCGTTTTTAAATCTCAAGTACATCAAATTACTTTCGCGTTTTCGTCTGTACCCTCGAAATTCACCAGTCTGTACAAGATCTCACTCAACGTGAGACCCGAGCGACACGTTGATGGAACGGTACCATCAGCCTTCCTACATTCAAGTATAGCCTGGAAAACCAACTTATGCAGAGTCTCGGTCTCTTCTGAGATGTAAGAAAACCGCGACCGTCAGTAGGCGACACACGTGGCGCTGCTCAAGCTCTTGACGCTATTGGTGGTTGATCGGGAGTTTTGACGGGTTTGACGATTGAATTGTAAACGATAAAAACCTTATTAGTATGCGGTTAGGTGGGGCACCAGGCTGACGAAACGATGGCTGTCACACAATGTTTGCCCAACCTCTTTGAAGGGGATGACTGTCCATGAGCCCCGCTTTGCGAGAACTTCCTCGTCAGTGGATATGGTAGTTGTTCTTTGATGTCCAAACCATTTGACCTTGGTGATTTCTCTCGTTTTAGAAAGGATATTTTGAACTTCATTTGCTTTTTCGAAAGTAAGTAAATAACTGAAAAACACACATTTGGAAACTGATCTGGCTTTTCGAGAGACTCACCTGGAACCCGGCTGAATCTCTCGTTTACGGTGGAAACTGTGCCCACCTGATGAGCCCCAAGGACAGCAGTCTATCGAAAGCTGAAAGCCCAGTATTATACCACCTACACTTCCCCATTCCCAGTAGTTTGTTGGTTGTTAAGTTACGTTAGATCGATGCGCCGTAGGAGTTTTTTGAAGAGTGGCTGAATTGGAGGGAAGGGACTGGGGAGGGACAAATAACAATGCGGATGAGCGATACCCAGAGCTGTCCATACCGAGGATTTGGTCAAGGTAGCCCACGTTGAGCCGTTGACACAAAGACCTGACCTGTTTAGCAGTAGAGGGCTGGACTAGCCCAAGAGTGCAGGGAGCAGGGCATAGCTGCCTAACTCCTGATGCTGCTGTGCACACCATATGTGTTTGGAACCTCATCAATCTCACGGCAAAGTTTGGTTGCTTTTTGACCGTAATGGATAACTCGTAAGGGGTCACGGTCAACGCTCGACGGTCCGAGTGTGCGGATTTTACGGCCAGTATTGTTTAATCCATCCTTCTACGTAGGAAGGCTGCTTTCGTGAATACGGAAATTCCGTTCGCCTGCAGGAAATACCTTACGGCCTTCACATACCTATCACGGAGAACAGTACGACTTTACCTCCACACTGCATCGTATTACAGCTGGTCGTAGTACGGGGGCTCGCTGCTCTTCGTTTGGCTACCCTTCTTTCGCCTTCCCGGAGCGGTTGCACACCGTGGAACGAAATTCCAGCCAGTGCAGCCCGCAGGATCATTTCAGCACTCAACATCGACTACCAATTCAAGGTGGTGGTCGGGAGTGCTGAGCAGCCAGAAAACCTCACGTTACAAGGGGCATTTCTCAGACCAACACGTAATCGTTACGAATGGACTGTGCTGTACAATTAAGATGAGCAAGTACTGGGAGCAAGTATACCATTCTTCGAACAAACCAACACACATCGCTCAATAAGGGTTACACACCGAGGACATATCAATTAAGTTTTATCGTGTATAATCTGAGTACTCATTACCAAATCAGACACAGTTTACCAGCGCTAAGTGCTTAGAACGTGGACTGGACGATCGGATCGAACGTTGAATGAACGGATTTTCCGCTAGGATAAAAACGGCCCTCAATAATATATGCGACCTAGCAACACCTGACAATGTGGGGTACTCAACTCGAAAGTCGTGCGACACAGCAATGCCAAATTAGCATGTGACTGTCCGATTCGATCGCGCTGCGCAAACGGCTCAATTACCATGCTAATATATGATGCAGCTATGTTGTGTTGTGAAAAAAACGGATTAGATACACTGATAAGGTCATACAATGATCAGACGGTCGTAATTTAAAAGTATAGATTGTCTGATTTGATTAAGAGGTGAGGTCATCACCAGGGACCACAACCCCACAGTTGACACTGATGCTTCACTGTCCTATAGTCACAGAGCTTATCTAATTATATTTGAGTGACAAGAAGGGAAAAGGGGAGGCGACGTGATGCTGGCCTGTAGCAAGCACTGCACGCTTCCTACGTCTCCAGACACTCAACCAATCTGGGAAGATACCGATAGCACGAACAACAATGACATCGATCTGCCACAATTTTCTCCGCAAGGGAAGTCACAGGGACATCATCCTGAAAGCCGAACCACACGAAAAACATCCCTACTTTTCAGTATCTTTTTACATCTTTCTGCTAAGTCATACGTTGTCCACCTCGCGGTTCGCGCCATTTCGAAGGAGGCACGAAGAACAACAGTAGTCTTGATAGATATTGTTTTAGCTTTCGTAGCACATGGCTGAGATGCCGAAGTTCATGGTGCTGAAAGTGTTCCGCAATCGAAGTACCTGCTGCGCAACTAGATACTTGTTTTCTAATCACCCCGTTACGAATTCATTGACGTCATCTGACAACAGCGTTGCTGACGCATCGGCGATGAAAAACCTGAAGACGCCTCAATTCGTCTAACCGCAGAGGCCATGTCTCAGGCCTACTGTAGCTTGGTACTGGGCACTCTTGAGACATAGTGATATGCCTTTTTCAGGCCACAAGTGGCGAAAATTAGTAAACTGATGCTGACTTCATCAGACACACTTCCATCAGAGTTAATACGACTACAGAGGTCTGTAAACTTCCCCAAACTCCAGTGCTTCTCCTTGAACAATTGGGGCATGTTCAGAGACTTCGAAGACCGAAGACAGTGGTCAGATTATTCAAAAGAGCTTGTGCTTGGCCTTCGTCTTCAGAGATGAGGGCGATGTCGTCCGCATACTCCAGATCGACAAGGTTCTCACCAGCAGTCATAAGAATACCGAAGTTTTGAAGATCATTTAGCGGTCGTCTCATTAATTCATCAACGGCAATGTTGAACAAGAAGGGAGAAAGAGGACATCGTTTTTTTTTCTAAGGAGCTCACCAAACACTTCACACGCCCAGAAGTATGTGAAAATAGGGATCCGATTGATTTCACAAACTTCTGGTGCACCCCCAGTTGAGCAAGTGCGATTAACAGCACTGACCGATCAACAAAATCGGAAGCACCCTTGATTTCAGAGAACACCAAGATTGTGGGCCGTCTGGTAAACAGGTTTAGTAAAATACCGGGCCATAAATCGTTCCAACTATATCGTACAAATGCACTACTAATCGACATGTAAATACCAAGTGGTTAATGAGTAGTTTTGGCAAACCGTGTGCGCTAAACACAACTGGCTGGATGAGCGAAACAGGGCAACATGGGGGGAAAACGCACCTCTTTACGCCGAGCTTCCATCAATTTCCTGTTATTCTCCTCCAAGATCCGATCAAGCTCTGCCTGTTTCCGTTTTTCCTCTTCCTTGAAGTAGAAAAATGGGCATGAAAATAATCACACTGTGTGGATTCGTCTGCACAAACATGACTTTCAATAGAGTGGCAAGGATGCATGGATTTCACTTATTTTTGACATGAAACAAACGGTTTACACCTAGTCTGGCACATAGGAACAATGGTTCACAATCGTCCAGATGTAGCACCCTTTCGGTGCCTAGCTGCCATGCCACACGAATGAGGCACGAGGGCTGGGATACTGTCAGGTCGCCCAACCCTAGACAGGGGAAGTCGAGGGGCAGAGGTCGGGTTCGAACCACGGACCTTCCGGTCAGTAAATTCGCGGTCTAACCACTTGGTTCACAAAAGAACAAAGTATCCATGCGTGATAGTTGACATGGTAGACAGTATCGTACACCAAGCCGGCATTATTACATGGAATCCTGTAGTTCATACCAGGTAGATGTACTGCCAAACATGGCACTTCTGTCAAGGTGACAACCCAATGAGATGGGGAGAAATAGTATGAATCGCTTCCGAAAGAGTGAATGCCGAATCATCTTCATTCTTGAATGTAGAATGTACCAGAGCCTTAATACCGCACACGCCTATTTGTCAGAATATCATATAAAAAGAAGAGTTGAGAGGAAATGACGTTCCTGCTGGTCTGTAACTCGAAGAACTCCACCAGAAAACCTAACTAGCTTCCACTTTCAACGTCAATTTCTTTCGAACAGGAAGATTTGATTCCAACCTGCGAGAGGATCCCTGAATCCGACGTTAGAAACACAAGACTCAAAGGAAATTTCTGATTCGCAACAACCTACACAGGCCAAAGGGTACTGGAACCTTACTAAGTGACGCCGGACGGTAGTATTCATCCATTTCAATCGCAGCCCAAGGGAGTGGCTGTCTGTCTATCACGAAAACTTTGAGATCCCTAGGCCTTCAACACTCACTTGACGATCCATCGTTAGACTCACGCTGCAAAGTACAACCAGCCCGAAGACAAAGTGAGAGTAACTTGGGCTGATGTTGATTACGAGTTTTCAGGAAGCAATACTTCACTGAGCTGTGTATTCACTTGAAAATTCGCAGCAACCACCGGGTGTAAATTAGTCGAGGCGACTGCTTGGGTTGTCAGATAAGGGCCAGGTCTTCTCAACTAGGAACAGTGTGTTCAAGTGAGGCTGTCACCTGAGTAGTCAGGGTGAAACCGCCGGGATTAAAATAAACACATTCTTACTCCTTGGATCGGACTAGGCTGTCTATGAGTTGAGTCGGCAAACACCTGAGATGAGACTTACAAGCGTTAGAATCCATCGCAAATGTCAACTAGGAATTTCAGGTGGATACACTGCACCTGAACGCACGCTACACCGAAGTTACGTAGATGTTTCAACAAGATGACGGCTCAAATAGAAGGCTTGGGATAACAAGCCATCTGAAGCTTCTGTCTACAGGATGGGCGATAAGCACAGCACCTGAAATCGGTTCCCAGCCTACATTATTGGGTAACTTTAGGAAGGGTGTGGGAAATCCAGCATAAGCCTTTCATAAAGCTTCCCGAAAGACTCATTTGGAAATTAATTCGGAGGGCATATGACCAGCTGCGACCAAGGCCAACATCATTCCTGAGGACAAAAGCACACAAAACGGTATGCGCGACAAGAACACACACTTGAACTTGTACTAGAAATAAAAAAATTGTTGATATTGTCCTATTATACCTTACGAAGGTGCACGATGCAATGCACTTTACATCTGGTACGCAAGGTGAACGGCTAACATATCATCACAGCTCACCATTCCGGACCAAATGATCTACGAATTAATTGTCTAGTGCGAAAGACTATCAACACAGAGCCCTACCGCATTTTCAACAGAGGCCAGATGCTTTGGTCTTCCTCACACACGGACCGTCGTTTACAAATGCGGCGTTAGTTGGGGGAACTGGAGTGTCGTGCGCAAGAAGATGCAATGCTGAATCTAGTGCCAATGCATCGGTAGCACTTCAAAATTGTGGTTGGTTAGAAAATCACAGGATGAGACTATTTCCGGTATTTCAAGCGTTAGGAACAAAGCTATGTGGTGCCAACAGAGTCCGCCAAATCAAGTCAGTAGGCCTTGGGTTATACTCTATGTAGATTTTAATATGAAACAGGTGGAAGTAGCACACTCGTTCCATCAATGAGAGGAAGCTACAACCGATTTACCCCCGGACCCCAAATACACGTATTCAGTCCCATCTCCGGAACTTTACTGATCTGTGTTATACACGTCGAACGATGGACGCGGTGAACGGAAAAGGGCTGGCATCAAGAAGACCGAGTTGTGCCCGTGAAGCTGTCTATGCAGTGACCAATGAGTAATGCGGGGCGGGTGAATGAGGCTGCCCATTTGCTAAGTGGCAAGGAGATGGCTGATGAGAGGAGTAGCAGATCTGAGGCGTCGTGTAGACTATGATCAGTTATATCACCAAGTGTGTGTTTGGATACGGGAAACCGGTAACTCACTTCAAGTCGTTTCTCCTCTTCCAACTTCCGTTGATAATCCCGTTCAAGCTCATCGAGGCGCTGCTTCACCCGCCGGTCAATTTCCGCCTGATACCTGCGCTCCAACTCAGCCTGGAGATCATCCGCACGATCGACCAAAGCGGCCTCGAATGCTTCCACCACTCTGGCCTCCAGCTGACGGGCCGCTTCTGCCTCACGCTCACGTTCTTCCTTTAGGCGTCGCTCTCTAAAAAGAGCAGACGTTGCGAAGGAAAGAAAACAGATCAACGTAATTATATACACGAGGATAGAGGGCTTCGAGACCATCTGAAACACAACAGAGGCAACGACACTCAGGCTTAACCGGTATTGATCAGCTCGGAGTCGACTGAAATTACGGAGTTTTAAGGGCAATACAACCATACATCTTAACGAGTCATGGGATGGAAATAATGAAATGAATACAAGCCTAGTGTCAACTTAGCAAGAAAATTCCTAGACTACCCCACACCTCCGTAAATGTGTTTAACTTCAACCAATCACAGAAAGGACCACCCGAGCCCCATTCTAGCAAAATTGGCAGCACTCAGCGTCAGTGGTATTGCATGCATACTCGCTTGACAAGCTATCATCTGCCCACTTGTTGTGTGCACCACTCTTAATTAGCAAATAAAACAGCGATCTTCTCAGTAGACGAAAAGGAGCTTCAAGCAGCACATCATAACAAGACTGCACCGAAATGTTGAGGAAGAGCATTATTGAATGTGGTAAAGTCGGGCGAATATTTGCTGTATACAGGTTTACACCCACTGAAGTTGGCACAGTGCCCCTAGGAGAGATCTTTACAAATTAGAGGCACCATTGGTCGCCAGGGCATCGCCAAAGTTTCTGATGCTCTACGGAGTCAGAGAAAGCCTTCAGGTAAGGAAAAACGACCGTCGTTGAACGCTTAAGGAAAATCGTTCGAGAAATCGTCGCAAGATAAACATAAGGTCGACGCAACATTGTCCACGGCGTAATTACTCTACTCGTGTGCGTAATCATGAAGGGAAGCGAAGTGCTAAGTGAGCCCACACAATGGCATGATCGGAGACAAGTTGCGGACCCCAGAAGGAACGGCTCTCCCTTGGTAACTGATAGCCATAAGATCCAACTTAGTCCATAACTGGTATGTGGTTGGTGGGCTCCAAGTGATTTGCTGAGGGTGTTTTTGATGAAATTCCGTCCTGCCCACAAATGGACGACGATTAGTACACAACTGAAGAGTTCTATCCTGATTACCTGTTGTGTCTTGCTGAGCGGTAGTGCAACTCTGCATACTCGGCTTCCTGCTCCGCCCCCTGTGGTATAGCAGAAGGCACGGTAGCTTTACACAGCCCTTTACGAAGACATGGAAATTACTACAACTGTATTTATAGGGTAATCACAGAGCGTTCCACAAGGTTGTGCTTGAATATCCGTGAGGGGGCGAGAAGCGTCGAGTCAAGGGTGCTCGATCCGGTTTGGCGGGTATTCTGGCCAAACGGGGCATGCCTTCATTCAGTCCGTGTCGTGAACGTGACACATCCGTCCAAATGATTAAAAGTTCAGTTATTAGGGACGGCTGGCCTAAAGACATCGCCCTATGCTGAGCATCGACTACGAAGCTAAAAGTGACACCCTTCTGGGGTTCGTTATCAAACGTGGGCGTTCGTTTCACCGGTCAGGATGATATTTCGTTCTTTTGATGACCGAAGCAGTCATGACGAATCATGAAAAAATTTATTTTCCTCATCTTAGGAAATACAGTCTGGTGGGGTGTATGCAGACTGCGAATAAACGTCATTTACTGCATCAAACAACATCGATCTCAATCCAACCAGACAATCGTACAGCGCAAAGTCGACTGTTTACTGGAATCAAGCCAAGTTGAGTGCGTTTAGGTCCGTGATTCACTGAAACTGGAGCTTACCACGGTGTAGCGGTTTTTGCACCCCCACGACCAATTGACCCATACACGGAAGTGCACGTGTGTCCGGACCACAGAGCCTCACACCAGGTTGGTCAACGGGCAGTGGTCTGGCTAACACAGTCTCCTGATCCTCTAGTTTGGGGATTGGACAAATTGCTCCCTAGAAATGTGGATTGCTCTGAGGGTCGTACACCGACAACAGCTGTTTTGATGTTAGGTTTTTGAACCAAAAGCTTTGTTCAGGACCCTAATCATCCAGTCTAGGCCTGGACGCCCTGGTGGTATCCCAGCCTACGCGCAACCAGTAACTGCACTGTCGTCATCAGTTGGGTGGTCTTAATTGCCACATGCAACAAAGCGGGTGAGCGAAAACAGGCGACCGCTGAGGTCTCCTTTCTTCCTCTATTATATATTCGCTTTTCTCTCCTTCCCAGTCCCATTGCTAGCGATATCTACGTACGCCCATCCTTAAGGACTGATAGATCCGTTCAATACCGATTACCATTACCATTACCTGTAGCCGCCACAGCCACATACACTCCTAAAACATTCTTCGAACCTCGTCGCTCAGTTCATCAGACAGTCTTGAAAGTTCGCACTCTGAAACAACCTGAACTAACAGACTGCTCTTGCGTGTACGCTATGAGATGGTTCAAGTGGTTAGAGCGCAAATTTACTGATCATAAGGTCCGTGGTTCGAACCCAACCTCTGCATCTCGACTGCTCTTGTTTAGACTTGGGCAACTTGGCATTGTCTCAAACCTCGTGCTCACTTCGAGTAGCATGGCAGCTGGGCACCGAAAAGGTGTTACAGGTGAGCGATTTTTTGCTTGTCTGAATCAAGGATCAAGATGTAAGCACAGTTGTAGAACTGACCTCCCAATCGGTTTGCGCTCGCATCCGGGTGAGCAGCTCTGGTGGTTTTACGGCCAACCTTTTCTAATCCCTCCTTCTATGAAGGGAGGCTGCTTTTATGGATATGGAAATGCCGGTCGTCTGGAAGAGATACATTACTGCTTGCACACTCCTTTGCAGATGACAGTATGACTATACTTCCAGAAGGTACCGTGGGGGCTCACTGTTCTTAGTCTGGCTCCCTTGACCTTCCTGGCATGGTTGCACATTTTGGAACGCAGTTCTAGCCAGTGTAGCCCGCATGACCATTGCTGTATATAAGCCGGACCATTAATTCATAGTGGTAGCATTTGGCCAGGAATAAGTGTGAGAATACAATGCCTGCACTGTTAGCAGCCTCCTGTGGCACGTCATGAAAGCAAGGATGCACTAGTCGAAAGGGCTGAAGAGAACCTCGAATTCAGTGAACACGTCCTTGGTTGCCAGACTGATGTGAACGGATTGCACGACATATTGCAAACGTGCTCAGTCCGACCTATACCGGCTTGAATACTTTTTGGTGTTCTTGAGTCAAGGCTTGCGCGCCGCCGTAAGTGACATTAGACCTAAGGCCACAACAAAAATTCTCCTAAGACCTATGTGACTGACGCCGCCTACGAAGTCATACATCTTAAACGCTAGCGCAACAACTTACACATGGGATCAGATCCAAGAAGAGCTATGTCGTCTGCGTACTCGATATCTGTGAGCGGAGGCCCAGGGAGCACTTCGACCACACAGGCATTAGAGGCTGGTAGTGAGTCTTCCATGATCATTTCATTGACGAAGTTAAAGAGGAAAGGTGAAAGAGGACAACCCTGTCGGACACCACCGGATGTGGTGAACTCAGGAGAGAGCTTCTCGCAGACCTTTACACGGCCGCGGGAGTTGGCGTACAGCGCCTTAATGAGGGTCAAGAATTTATGGGGGACACCTTTGCACCACAGACACTGCCATAGTGCTTGGCGGTTCACAGAGTCAAAGGCAGCTTTCAGATCGAGAAACACAACCATTGTTGGTTGCTGGAAGCAGTGTCGCTGTTCCAGAATCCGTCGGAGGGTGAAGATATGGTCGATGCAACCTCTTGCAGGACGGAACCCAGCTTGGTTTTCACGGATCTGCCTCTCCCTGTGTTCAGTCAAACTTCGAAGGATAAGGCCAGAGAGCAC